GCCCTAGCCTAGTTTGGTGTGAAATTTTTCCAATGTTTGAGCGAAGCGTTTGTTTTTCCGAAAACTGAGGAGGTAGAGGGAAAATCTCTTTACTGTTGTAGAGTACGCTTACTTGAGTGTAGAAATAAGATGACATACTTGCTTGTAGACGAGCGCTTCCGCCGTGCTGTGGCTGTGAAAATGCCTCCCCGTCATGCCCTTGTGGAAAGATCAGATTTTTTTGCATTTTCAGATACCCTCGAGCCCTGGAGATGTGCGCCCCCCATTGGTCATCCCGTGAAATAAATTCCATCGAATTATCACTACTCATCGCGGTGAACCAGGGGGGCCCACCCCAGTTGAATTTGGTTTTTCACCGTTTTCATACTTCCCCTAATTGCCGATTGGCATCATTATTCCACTATTACTGCCCCAAAATCTCAAAGTTTCATTTTTCGTCGAAACTTTGCCTACTGGGGTAATTCGATGCCCTGATTACGAATATGACATTCATTCTCGTAGTGTGGCCCCAACCATCACACCTCGCCCCATTTTTTGCGACATGTTCCATGTTTAGAGCAGATGTTATGTAGAAAGATGTGAAGGCAGCGACGAATTTCCTTACACCTTGGGACGTGAGCGTAAGCACGTACGGGATTACAAGTTTCTGTATGAATTACCATAAGAAGTACTTTGGTGGCAGGTGAGCCTTCGTTTCGTAGTGTGGCCCCAAACATCACACCTCGCCATGCCCTTGCGATATGATCAGATTTTTTTTGGTTCTCCAGATGAACATAGAAGACTGAGATATGCACCATTCAATTCCCCATAAAAAATACTGTCCGAAGCCACGTGTATAGCGCAACGCGAGTGCTGAGAGGAGCGATCTAGGTCATGAATGGTGAGGGCCTGCCACCTAGATCCATTTTGTGACATTTCCCAATTTTCGAAGGGATGTTTTGAGGAAATTCGAGAAGGGAGGGACGAACTCTCTTCCCTATCGTAGAGTAAGTTTACTTGTATGTTGGAAAAAGATGATGTACTCGGGCTTGAGTGAGTGTTTCCTCCCTGGTGTGGCCTCAAACATCGCTCTCCGTCATGCCCTGAAATAAAAACCAGATTTTTTGGTCTTCCAGGTGGATCTACGGAGCTGTGGTGTACACCATTCGATTCTCCATGCAAAATGCTATCGAACGATATACATCTCAGTTCCCACTTGAAACTTTCGTTTTTCACCGTTTTCGGCCTTTTCCTTATCGCCGATCGCCTTCCTCGAGCCACTGGGTCGATTCACTGGCCAGGTGCGGTAGAGCTCATATATGGCCGATGGTCTTTCGTTCGGTAGCCTAGCGCACGCCCCGATCGATACACCGCCTATGCGTGTCGAAAGTGCGTGGGAAAGTCCACGCACCGCCTCCAGAAAGTGAGTTGTATACCGTTCGACAGTATTTTTTATGGGGAATTGAATGGTGCACATCTCAGTCTTCTATGTTCATCTGGAGAACCAAAAAAATCTGATCATATCGCAAGGGCATGACGAGGTGTGATGTTTGGGGTCACACTACGGAATAAAGGCTCATCTCTTCTGCTACCAGTGGCATCGAATTACCCCAATAGGCAAAGTTTCGACGAAAAATGAAACTTTGAGATTTTGGGGCAGTAATAGTGGAATAATGATGCGCCAATTGGCAATAGGGGAAGGCTAAAACGGTGAGAAAACCAAATTTTCAACTGGGAGGAGTAATGCATAACATTCGATAGCATTTTTCACGGGGAATCCAATGGGGCACATCTCAGGTCTGCGAGTTCATCTGGAAATGCAAAAAATCTGATCTTTCCACAAGGGCATGACGAAGGAGGCATTTTCACAGCCACAGCACGGCGGAAGCGCTCGTCTACAAGCAAGTATGTCATCTTATTTCTACACTCAAGTAAGCGTACTCTACAACAGTAAAGAGATTTTCCCTCTACCTCCTCAGTTTTCGGAAAAACCTTCGCTCAAACATTGGAAAATTTCACCAAATAGGCTAGGGCATGACGAGGAGGCATGTTCATGGCCACAGCACGCAGGGAGCGGTCATCTGCAAGCAAGTGTGTGATCTTATTCCTACACACAAGTAAGCGTACTCTTCAAGCCAGCTAACGGAAGAAATCGCCCCCACGGCGCTCAATTTCTTGGAAAAAACCTTACGCTTGATAACATTGGAAAATTTCACCAGGACGAGCTGAGCTGCTCTCGCAGCCCGTAGAAATTGATCTAATGACTTTCTATTAACTACGGAGAAAGCGAGGAGATCAGTAGTTGATCAGCTAACGTGCTAAGCTCATATTTAACGCTGCGCGTGTGGCTAGGGGACCATGGAAGGTCCTGGTAATGAGACAGATGCGGAGTCTCATTCACAGAGAGAGAGAGACTACGCGACTCCGCGTTCTGGGGCACTGCTGAGACCATCTCATTTGAAGGAACAATCTAGATGCAGATAATGCGGTATGACATGCGCACGGCCACATTCAAACAGTTTTTGTGTCTGTCTCTGTCGCGCAACTCGGAGTGCATCTGTGCGCAATCTGAATTTACGCTTCCAGCAAATTGCGAGAGAGACATATTCTGCTATTAGGACGCTTATGACTGAGTTCAACGTCTTTTGTCGAGATTCGCAGAAATCTTGATCGAACGAAGTTCTAACGAAAAAACGAAAGAAAGGAAACGCGATAAATTTGCAGTTATTCGCGTGTTTTCTTATTGTCGATTTTTTACTGGCCTAGTGCACCGTTAAGTTTTCCAACAAATGGTTAGACTCGCCACAGAGAGACGAGTCCAATGGTGTAGAGCACCAATCATTTGACCCGCTTTGGGGGGAGTTATGAAGGGGCGACGCTTTGCGACGCTGCAAATCCGTCGCTCAGCGGAGAAATTTCAAAAGTTAGTGGCGGTATTGTAATTTCTTGCGCATGTGACAGAATAAATTTGTACAGGTACACCCCTTGACATACTTATAAAGCACTAGTCAATAGTTCTATGACTGAGAGCACGGCTCCACAGAACAATGTTACTTAAGAAGGCTAATTTATATAGAATTTTATAATGCGTCATTCAGGTCGCTCGCCAGCATATTAATTGAGGCTTTGCATTTCTTTTCTCAAGATTAATTACTAATGAGGACTTCTTCAACTTCTCAGAGCCCCCATATATGTTGAGAGGATCGAGGTGTATTGGAAATTCTCTTGAACTTTCACAGGTTTTCCCCTCCTTTCCTTTGAAACCCAAGTTCTCGTTCTAAATTTGATTTGGAATTTTCTTGATAACAGTATACGGTATGAAAGCCTAGAACTGTAGCTATATCTAGTACACTGTCTACAGTACTGTCAAATCAAAATTCTATAGAAAAACTGCTTTGAGGGACAATTTTGCCCAATTGTGAGCGAGAGTTGGGCGCGCCAAAAAGAGGCGTGGTCCCATGAGCAAGCTACGTGCAAATCCGCATTGTCGTCAAAGGGTTAAAGATAGTGGGCGCCCAGCAGATAAGTTATTCCACGAGACGCGAGAGCATAGAATTGGCGAGGTGACGCTGATCGTATGATACTACCACAGTGGGCGAAAGGGCCAGCACGGCGGATGAACCACCGCTTGGCGCCTACTAACGTCGATTCTGTTATTTCTATGATTCTGCATGAAGTGGCGCATCTAGGAATTTTTTTGTACTCTTAAAGCTTCATCCTTTTCTCTTTCGTTGAGAACACCATGAATTCAATTTATCATCCATATCAGTAGTATCATCAGTAGGATTTTTCACCAGTGTTTGGAACCAAACCGTTGCTTATAGGTATGGAATGAGCAACTTTCGCAAGAAGCTTATAAATTGGCAGGAGCCAGATACAAAAAACTGGCCGGTCCTTATTTCTCGATCTATACGGCGATGTGGGTTCACAAGATTAGATTACATTATTTTTTGATCATACGGCATTTCCTCTATAACAATGATTTTTGTTAAGATGGCACAAGAACTGGCTTCCATTGGAGCAACATGTACTTTCTGCGCTGTATGGTGGCTTCTCGAGTTGGTATATAAAGGTAGGTTGTTGAAATAAACAACTTGCCAGAGGTGGAATTGATAACATATCACGGAATTGCAGCTCTTTTTTTGTTTCTTACTGGTTTAGAGGGCGATGACTGCACTGTGTCTAAAATCTGGGTTAGTTCAAACGATATCTCAACACTTGATTCGACCACACCCTCTTGGTTTACTACTCCTCTCCCCATCCTTCCCTCCTTCCCTTCCCCCCCTTCCATCTCCAATGCAGCATCTTGTGGAATGATCTGCAGTGTGTTTAGGAGTGTTTATATAGCCATGGGGTCTATCAGAATCGCCTCATCGCAAAACACTAATAGCTCAAGTCTTGTTAGATACACGATTTTCTTACGGATTTTTTTATTCCAAGTCCTTATCACTTCATTCGTGGACGTACACTCATACCCATACTTACATCAATACATACTTATAGTGCATATCTCGCCGTCTAATTAGGCATGTCTATGGATTTGATATGGCCGCTCTACACACCGAGTTAATGGTCTATTAGTAGAACGATAAAGAAAATCTGTAGTATTATTATCTTCATTGCTACTTAATCTTGCCTCAACCTTTTTTTCAGATAAAGGGTCTTGATAAAGGCACTCCATTTGGATGCAGCCAACGGATCGCCAACGTACCCGACGACGCTGACTACGTTCAAGTTCTATGCATCTTCAAAGTCCTCTGAAGCGTGCACATCTATACCTGGAAGGCTCTGTATCCCTTTTTTACCCCTCTCTTTTCTCTAACGATTCATCTATCGCATGTTTCTAGTTCTAAAGAAACTTGGGATAAAGATTCTCTGAGCATTGTAAAGCCTATGACGGAAAGCCATTGTCAAGCCGTGCGGTAACAGAAGGAAAAAGTGAAAACTTAGCTAAATTGGTCGTCTCGTACATGACTAATTTCATGCAATCTGCAACTGTAACTAAACCTTTGCGTAGGACCGAAATCGAGAAGCTTCGGTGGGCTTGTTTGTCAGAGAAACTTCGCCTTGTTGGGAAGTCTTGCTCTGCACCCGCTACCCACCACGTTGTTTTTTCAACACAGAAAGGAGTATTAGAAAGGAAAGGAGATAACGACTACTTCTAATTAGCTTGAGCTGCAATCGCTTTCGTATTCAAGATAGGATGATCCGCAACCGCAGATACAAGTTGAGACGCGGTAACGCGTCTCACTTTGCGCACCTCGTTGGACATTGAGACGCGGTGCGCGTCTCACCCTTATCATCCCTTTTTCTAGCGTATGCGGGGATTCTTCCCAATTTGCTTGTTTTCTATTCTGTCGATTACAATATAACATAATTGTAGTGTACATCAAAATGTGCAAGCGATTGAGCGCGTTCAGGCTACACCATAACCTTCGAAAATAATCAGCAAAAATCAAAGAGCCATCCACCTTAAAAAAAAAGGCGGAAAATTACTGCTCAACCTGAAAGAACATAAGAATCTACCCAAAAACCGGATCAGATGTGATGCTTCCTAGTAGAGACGAGCTCATTACATAGCCGATACATTTTAAGTTCGCCAGATGGTGTTTACCAGCGAAAAGGAGCCGTCACGTTTGATTTCTGAGAAGCTGTCTTCTTCTTCTTTAGCGTGTGTCCCGCTTGTTGGCGGGGTCCGCTTTTCTGATGTGCTGACGCCACTTTTCCCGATTAAATGCTTGGTCGGGGTGGATGTTAACCGACTTCAAGTCTGTGTGCAACGTATCGAGCCAGCGCTGCTTCGGGCGCCCCTTTCCGGGCACGTCAAGGTTGAGACCGATCTTACGGACACTGTCATCATTCGCGCGAAGAACATGACCATACCATCGAAGACGGGCTTCGCGCATCTTGTCGACAATTGGAGCCACACCGAATCGCTCTCTGATGACATCGTTTCGAATGTGGTCTAATCGTGTGACTCCGGCTGTCCAGCGCAGCATCTTTGTCTCCATCACACTGAGACGGGCTTCGAACTTCTTTAGTCGCAGGCCAGCACTCAGCACCGTAAATCGCGACTGGCCGGATGACGGTTCTATAGATCTTAGATTTGAGACGTTCTGGTATGTTCTTATCGCAGAGAACGCCAGTCATCGAGCGCCATTTCGACCAGCTGCACTCACGCGAGAATTCGTTTCAGAAGCCAGGCTGCCGTCAGACGCGATTGCTGATCCAAGATACTTGAATGTCGTTGTACGTGTGAGCTCAGTACCATTGATCTTAATAGAGCCTGGCTCACTCGAATCGGTGGTCAAGTACTCTCTTTTTGACGTTCAACCTGAGCCCGAACATAGCCAGACGGTCGGACCAGGTTTGCACCTGTTGCTCGAGCGTGCTTTTATCTTCGCTAGCGAGCATCACGTCATCAGCATAAAGAAGCGTCCATGGAGCCGGCTTCTGAGATCTCTTGAATGGCATCCATGACGACAACAAATAGGAGTGGGGATAACGCAGAGCCTTGATGTACCCCGACAGAGATGGGAAAATCCATCGATGTTCCTGCTGCCGTTTGCACTCGGCTCTTTGGACTCGAGTAAAGGATGCGCACCCACTCAATAAGCTCTTCAGGCACGCCATGCTGTCGTAAGGCATACGTGGAACGCGGTCGAAAGCCTTCTCCAAGTCTAGGAAGGCAAGGTGCACCGGTCTTTGTTTCTCGCGATGCTTTTCTAGCAGAAGGCGAGCGGCGTGTATGGCATCGATGGTGCTGCAACCAGCCACAAAACCACACTGGTTGGTGGTCAGCTCGACGATGTCCCGGATACGACTGTCTACAATTCGCTCAAAGATTTTCATGCTGTGCGAGAGCAGGCGAATTGGACGGTAGCTAGTGCAGTCTCTGAGTGTCGCGAACGGTGTGTATGCTCCCCGACACTCGACCTCCCGCCGAGCTGCCCATCAGCCCCACCACGCTGCCTCCTGAGCGCCCACCAGGAGGAGCGGACCCAACTTCCCCCCGGGGACACAGGGGGCGCCCGTCGGCAGCTCAACCTACTCACTAGTGGCCGACGGGCTGACCTAGGTAAACAGCCCTACTAAACCCGAGTGACACACAACAGACCGATATAATTAGGGTAAACCCACATATAATACATAGAAAACACAATTATATTTACTAACATTTATTATGACGTAGTAACTCACCATACTCCTCGAACTCCCGGAGGTCACCTCTCTCAGAGGTGAGCCCCGCCAGCTGACTCGACGTATTAGACCCCCACGTTGGCTCGGCTTCTTCTGGGGGCTCCATGCGGCCGACGTGTCCTATCTGGGATGTTGTAAGGGCTGCTCCCAGACGGGGAGCAGGGGAAGGACACGACCGGCTTTGGGATGACAGGCGCTCCGCCAACATGGACTACGGAGCGACGTGCCCCTTCGCCTTAGCTGGCCTCATCGCGTTGCCCGGTGAACACCGACCTGCCACCGGTGGCCAGCTCCTACGAGCACCGCCGCTAGGACGGAGCGCGTAGCGCCGACTAACTGGCCTCGACCGCAGGGAGGCGGGGCCAATGGCGCTGGAGCGCGTTGGCAACCGAGCGCAAGTGGGCCGGGGCGCGCGGTGCGCCCAGCGGGCCACCGTCGCATCCGCGACACTGAGACTACCGTTCTTCTTCCAGATGGGAATCGTCGTGCTTTCTTGCTAACTCTCAGGCACCTTCTTGTCTGCAATGACCTGGTGAAAGAGCTTCGTCAACCATTCTACAAGATTCCAGCACTTCCACAATGAAGTTAATGTTTACAATAAAAACAAGTTAACTCGAACTAATTTATTAAATATTGTCCTGGTAACGATGTTTATTCGAAATTGAACATTATTCTATGAGTTGGTTTATATTTATTTGGAGGGGTGGTGAACAAATAAGTCGTTCAGTCCCCGTTCTGCACGTGATCCTAAGACGGAGACTAAACAAGTTAAGTCTTCTCCTCCTATGCTCATCAGTAAAGGAAGGGAGGACAAAGAGATCAACTGAAATTAACTTTTCAACAAGTAGATAATCAAGTTTGAATTAAATATTTCCTGATTTTTTGCAAGTGATTAAGTAGACTTTGAATATTGTAATTATATTGTAAAAATAATAAATTAATGTATTTGTCGGCCGTCGGGACCGGTTGCTTTGCCTGGCTTCATCTCTTCAAAGCCATTATGGTCTCACTCACGGTTATCTTCTGAACGGGACCGTGTACTGGTGGAGCAAGAGGGATGGCAGGATGGGCAAATTCAACTGTTGAGATGCTTTCGAAGTAGTCGTGCCATCGCTTCAAAGTTTTCTTGCGATCCGTCAAAAGCTGGCCATTCTTCGTCATTTATGCCAAAGAACTTTTCTATATCCTCGGTCTGGCGATGGCGGGTCTTTGCAAGTCGGTAAACGTACCGCTCTCCATCGCGCGACTCGAGTTTTTTGTTGGCATCAGCAAAATGAGTTGATTTGCTTGACGACGGCCTTCTTTGCCTCTTTCGTTTGCTATCCGCCAGTCATCAGCCATCTCTTCAAACGAAATGCGTGGTGGCGGCTTCTTCATTCTCGAACCATTCTCTTTCTGCCTGATCCGTCCACAGCCGTGTTTGCTTGTCAATTCTCCGCCGTCCAGGCTTCGTCATGCCGAGCTCGGATCGAGCTATCCGAGTTATTTCTTCGGCAGCACCTTTCCAAGTTTCGTCGACAGTCGTTACCGCCGGTAATCGAATGCGGGAAACGACGGCCGCTTCTTTTTCTTTCAGTCGCCACCACTTGATTCTCGCTGGCCCACACCTTTCAGCCAGTTTCTGTTTTGGCGGGGCGATCTTCAGCGTGCAAATCAGTGGTCGGTGTTGTGTGACGACCGTTTCATAAGGTACTACCTTTCGCGTCTGTTACGAGCCCTTGATCGCGGTGCCTGACAAGGACGAAATCAATTTGTGTTCTGGTTTTACCGCTATAGAAGGTGATAAGATGTGAGTCACGTTTTCGGAATTTCGTGTTTACAATGGCGAGGTTATGCGAGTCTGCATATTCAAGAATTCGCTCGCCATCAGTATTACGTGACCCATATCCAAAACCACCATGACAGCTATAACCGTCTTTCGTAGCGCCCACGTGACCATTGAGGTCACCTGCGACAATTATGGCTTCTTGTGACGGTACCTCAGCTGTCTTCTCATCAAGCAGGTTCCAGAACTTGTCCTTGGCTTGCTCGGAGCATCCGTCTGCGGAGCGTACGCAGAGAAGAAGTGGTATTTTTGTTGTTCGATGACGACAATGATCTTCATTAAGCGGTCGTCGAAGCGCTCCACGCTTACTATCGAATCACGGAAAGCGTTCAGAGACAATCATCCCGACGCCGTTGGTGGTTTTGGGACCGCCACAGAGAACGGCTTTGAAGCCGCGGCCAATGTCCCTCGACTTGCAGCAGGACCACCTCGTTTCCTGCACGGCACAGAAATCAATTCGTCGGCGCTCTAGAGCTTCTGCCAACTCGCTGGAGCGGCCCGTCAACGTGCCAACATTTAATGTCGCAACGCGAGTCTTCCATACGTTGCGGGCTTTTGGACTAGCCTAGTTGCCCCCCGATGCCGTCCTTGCACCGGAGACCCTCGCATACTTTTCACACTCGCCGGGCTTTGCGAGTGCGCGTCGGCTCCCGCGGACGCCGTAGCATTATCTCGAGATTCATATAGCGACATGACATTTGTGATGTGACGTGGGTGTTCGTAGGCCGGCCTGTCACGGGGGCCTGTCGCCTGCATTCGAATGTCCGTGTTCAGCTCAGCTCACAAAAGTGAGCAGTTCCCAGTGGCACCACTTGGAGGAACGGACATCACCACCATTTCTGAGAAGCTGTAAATGAAAGTAATAAAAATGAGTGGCATAGCTTTCGACTCAACTGTTAAGTTATCGTGAAACCTCCCTGCATGCAACCTACCTATACAATGGCTTGTGGGAAACATCTGATCTTTAATCTTTTGCCATCTAGCCGGCTCGAAGCAGTGAAAAGTCTGGTTGCCTTGGGCGGAGCTCGATTCGGGTCTCTAACTTCCTGACAGTGGTATTGGTGTGTAGCGTCACCTAGTGCTACACCAATTCAGCGCTCCGTGTACCAGACGGTTTGGGCACAGAGTCAACCCTGCGTTGCGCAGTTCTCAACGGCCACGTTGCGCAGTTTCGCCCGATTAGACACGTTCTCTCGCGCGAACATTCACACTCGCATGCTCGAGCCGTCTGTGTCTCCGCCCATACAGCGTGCGTTGAGGATCTCTCAACGTGCCGTTGCGAACTGCGCAACGCAGGGTTGACTCTGTTTGGGCAGCCCTGCGAGAAATGTAGCGCGCGGAGCGCATTCTGAGAAATCGGAGGAAGCCCAGCATGAGATTTCATATTCATTGCAGTCGATTGGTAAGAACAGTAAAACATTATATACACTTTTGTATTCATACAACTGAATAAAGACTGTAGAGATCGTTGTGGGTCGTAGTGAAATGGCCGCTGTATACATCGTGATGATTCTTTCGCCTCACACCATACGCATCCTTCCTCGTCGATTGTCGATGTTACTGCTATTAGGTGACGAGCACGTCCTGCACATGATGACTGTCCGAAAGTAGAGTTCCTGAAAAAGAGCAGTCTTTTTGCTCATGCTTATTGTTCACTCTTTTTATCTTTGCTATACTTAGCAGGCTAGAAAAATGGCAGTGTCTTCCCAAGAAGTAATTTATTGAATTTTCTTAATTCTTCACGTCAAAGGCGCGCCACTGCCGACAGGTATAGCCGAAAAGTGTGCAAAAAGTTAAAGGCGGATTTACGATGAAAAGTCAGCCAATTGTAGCCCAAGTTAGAGGTGACCAGTGACGAAAAGTAAGAAAAAAACAAGAAAAACGCTTAGAATTCGAGAGATGGGACCCCTTCCTTGAACGTTATTTTCGCATTCCAGGCAACTCTCATCTGTGCTACCTAACACTAACGCTCACTATCTCCCAAACAGCAGAGGCTCAGACAGCGAGATGAAGGGGACGTACCGCGCCCATAGCTGCGCTATGCTCCACGCTGCAAGCACTGAAACTCCTTGAACAAAGCTTAGAAAAGGTTAAAAGCGCATTGAACGAGGAAAGGAGATTCAGGCCGCATTCAGATTGAAATGTACCTACGATTCCAGAAGGGAGCCGTTTGCGTGACACATTCTGAAGGGATTCATCAAGAGATGGCGATTTATAAATGTACTTCCCCAACCCTAACCCTATCCTCATAAAAGAGCCACAATTGTAGACCACTTAAAAAGAGCGTGAAATTAATTTCAACTCAGAACTTACGTGTCTAACCCTTTTCGAATAGACGATCAGTGAAATGGTCGGCCATACAGCTGGGCCAAAGGTGTTCAACAGCGAATGAGTGATGGCCAGATTCGGATTCGCCAAAGGGTCGTCGACCCTTGGAAGGACAATAAGAAGACAAAATATCACATCACAAGCCAAATGAAGGATCTGGTAGAGCATTTGGGTTTTCGGCGTTGTCTCTGCCGTCTCATGCTTTTCTTCGTCGTAAATGTGCCTGAATAACTATAATATGTTTGAGGCGATCAGAAAACTCATCTGTAAGTAAAGATAACTGTGATGAAGCCACGGGGAGGGATAGAATTAGTGCGCTATCTCACTCGAAAACAAGACAAGAAGTGCGAGGAATAAGCTAGTGCGAAGAAAAAGCGAAACGCACTAGATCAACAGTGATTTCCATTATGAGGGCGGGCTTGGTATGGGAGTGACACAGCGCTGCTAAGAGAGGGAGAACGCTACACAGCACGCGGAATGCGAGAGGGAACAAACGCGATTGAAATGGCAGCGGTCGTCGGTGGAGCGAAATCATCGGCTCCCTCGTGACCACTCTAAACTCACGGCGGGATACCAATCTGGGGTTGGGGAGCCTAC